CAGTCGTGCCCTGTTGGTGCCCCACCAGACTCGGGAAGCACCACTCACCCATGTTTACTGCGCAGCTATTTAGTCAACTGCTCCATAAACGTCTCATGTAGATTAACCCATTTTGTTAACTTGAAGGGTTATGCTGCTGAACAAGTGTTTCATATGCTTTCACTACTGTTGTCCCCCTTTCATCAGAAAAAAACCCCTTATATTTATCCATAGTTTGTAAGTTTTTGTAAATTCATCTTCTATTACTTTGAACACTGCATATGCCACATGAGCATAGTTAGATGAATTTAGTTATTACAGAATCTTTTATTAGAAATCTCTGAAAATACTGATTGGGGGTAGATAAACCTAGACTTTGGAGGTCTGTAAGACAAGCACCTGGCTGGGGTCATCTGAACCCAACATTCTTTCTTGCCCAGGGCAGGGGGTCAGATTTGATGATCTTCTGAGGTCCCTTCGAACGCTAAAAGTCGATGAAATCTATCAATATATCAGCTTTAAATCATGTATGCTTCTCTGGGAGACTGATTAAAAAAGTCTTCTTGCTGGGGGAAACATGCAGCACTCATAGTTCTAAAAGCTTGATGAGGATGCCTGCTTTTGTACTTCTTACTTTACAGTTGGTGTGATAAGATAGAAAAAAATTCTGTTATTGCATACAGTAAATGGGACACTGTTAACTTACAACAAAATAACGCTATCCTATCTACAAAAAATTTATGGCTACAAGTATTCAAATAAAAATATTAAAAAAAATATTTCTCGCATCTCTCTTTTTCTGGACTCCTTGGAAATGCTTGTTGCAACAGTAGATACAAAATTTTCACATGGGTGTGCATTCCAAAGTTGACAGAATTTTGTGAAGAGATTCGTAGTTAATAAATTATATAATGTCTAGAATATTTTAAATCTTGTGTTTGGTTTTCATTCAGATAAATCTGCTCAATGTGCAGTTCCAAGTAGTTCTGAGGCTATCTACCTTACGCCATATAAACCCAGCTCAGCAGAAAAGATTAACTTTGGCACAGTTCTAAAGTATAAGTGCAAAACAGATGTCAAAAACACTAAGGAATCCACTTGTGTGTCTGGCAAATGGTTACCCGAAATTGAATGCAAACCTAAAGGTAAGCTTTTGCATTCATATGCAAATTTGTCATGCAAATGGTTAAAGTGTTGGAGTAAATGAAGTTTACTGGTTTGAAATGCTACTAGTTTAATCATCAAAACCTAAACTGTGTATATGCTAAAGAGTAGAATGTATAGTCTGTTCCTTTAAAATTACAGAGATCATTTATATTAGGGTCATGGTGTTATTGTATGGTCCAGGGAATAGGAAAAAACAAGGTTTATTTGGTAATTTTTTATTGGAACAAGCACTTACTGGACTTAGTTTATCCAGTAAAATATAATACCAAACAAACTTGACTGCACAAATCATTTGGTGTTCAAACAACTGTCTAGCATGAAAATCAGGCTTAACCCAGCACATCCTTTAAAAACCACCATTGCTTAGGAAGAGGAACTCCCTCTGCTTATATTAGTAAAATATTCTGAAAATAATCTAAGTACTCAAAAAACAGCAATTCTGTCCAGCTGGCACAACACATGGAGAAGAGAACACCATAGTTCTCTTAATTCTTCTAAAATGTGAACGTCTTTGTTTTCCTGGGGACAGCAAAAATCTTTTCTCCCTACATCACAAACAATAGATTAAAAAAAAAAGTCTGTGATTTTGTTGTAGACGAGATTAGAATTAATTAATTGATGTTCTGTTTTCAGGTAGTTTTTGTTTCTCCAGAAATTAGAGAAGGGTGGCTGTCTCTCCTATGCTGCTCCTTCCTCCTTCCCAGAAAGCAGGACAGAAGCTATCTGATTTGAACTATATATAGGACACGAGCAAGAGCTGGGGAAAGAAAAGAAGCAGGGACAGAAAATGGTCTGGTTGAATGAAGAAATTGGAGATAAGGGGAATGGAAATAGGAGAGATGAATGGAAGCTGGGGAAATTGATTGCACAAGTAGATGAGAATGGGAAGCTGAAACTAGATGGGGAAGAAGACTTAGTGCATGGTAATGGAGGAAAGAATAGGCCTGAGAGTAAGGCAAGGGAGATACTGAGAGAAGAGATGAGAAGATGGAGGAGTGGAAATTTGTAGCAAGAACTGTTCATCAAGGGTTGCGGTTATGAAATTCTTTATTTGTATTTCATACAATTGGAACTCACTTTGATTGAAATGCTATTCAGTTGTTTGGGGCATACTGTGTGGTCATGATGTAATGAAAAGTTGGCAATGGCTACAGAAGTAAGGGCATAGACACATGACATTTAAAATTATTTAAATGCAGCTTATACCTGAAGCAGACAGACGTACAAGCCTGTTAAGTAGGTTTAAAGCTGTCTTAAATGGCTCAGAAATGCACATGGAAAAGTCAAGTATTATTTGAACTGGTTCACTGAGCTGGTTCAATGTTTTATATGGACGCTGGGTGTTCCATGATCCGGGCTGGATAGGTCATCTAGGCATCACACACTGCTCTGCTCCTCTCTCCACCCCTCCCACCCTCATCGCTGCAACTGGCTGCTTTAGAACCTAGCCAGAGCTTTACCGACCTCTTTTATCCTTACCTTTTCTTGGCACTTTATCAGTGAAACCCCTTGCACTGCTTTCTCAGTAAAAATATCTTTCTAACAACCAGTCATGGCCTCACTCCCTACTTGATCACAGCCCCTCAGTCATAAGCCACCCAACCCCTGCTATCCCCAAAGCATCAGTGCATTGCCCACCAACTTTGTCCACTGCAATGCATGTGTGTGTCCCTTTAGCTCACTCCCATGCCCTAATATAGGAGCCAGTGCACTTCACACAGTTGTGGCCCAGTTCCTAATCTGTGATATTTTTAACAGTTCTCTTGTTATGGGCATTAAGTGTTTTATCTAATATTAACTATCCTCTTTTGTAATGATCTTTCACATGTATCATATTTTATAAGACATCTAACTCATTTTATCTTTTCTGAAGAGATTAAAAAGCAATGCCCACCTCCACCTCAGGTCCCAGGTGCATTGAAGGTAACAGAGATGAGAAACTATGAGAGTGGTGAAGAAATAGCTTTCCAGTGTTTGGAAAATTTTGAAGCTTCTCCTAGCATGGACAAAATCTTATGTGAAGATGGGAAATGGCAGTCACCACCACGCTGTGTTGGTTAGTATGACAGCTTATCTGTACTTCTTTAAAGGGTTTTATTATTTTATTTTTTAACTGCACTCGATCAGAAGAAGTGTGCAAACAGTGGCAGTAACAAGACAATTGTTAAATCATTGTTGTGCCCGTGCATACAGAAGTTAGCAGTTTGTTTTAATATTGGACACAACAAATTGCTCTGCAGTGAAGTAATAAAAAATGAAGTAATAACAACTTGATAGTTATGTGTGAACCAACTTCTGTAGAGTTTGTTAATAATGGGTTATAATTAGCTAGAGCCTGAAAAGTGGGATTAGTTGTGGAAGGCAAAACATCTAATCTGATAAAAGTACATAATAATTACTTCTCCCAGTGAGTGAAATAAGCACCTTAAAAAGATGTTAGGCAGTGAGCATTTAATACTTGGACATATTCAGTCCTAATGCCAGTCACAAGTGCACTCTGTCAGGATTAGTCGTCATGTATTTGTATAGCATTAAGCATAACATGTCTCAATATTTGGAGATACTGTAGTTCAGATTAATAGGCTTTATAATAATTATGGCTAGATTATTTTTGTTTCTTTTCTAATATAATATTTCTTCTCTCTGAGCAATTTCTTTGACTACCTCTCTCTCTCTCTCTCTCTCTCTCTCTCCCCTTTCCTAGATTCTCCGGTTATTTCCCACCTTTTCAGGGAGCTGTTTTTGTTAAGTGGCAAAGCGTTTATAATGCCTCGTACAGTTGCACAATTGTGAATTGCTCTGGAATTCTGCCAATGTTATCCCCTGCATTGGCCCAGATGTTAAGGAGTATCATTCAAATTGGGAAGTGAAAAATAGCTGAATCTGAAGTTAGCCAAAACCTTTTAACCACGTTAGCCTTTTCTTTAGAGTTTTTTCAAAATTTTCTATAAATGCTGCTTAGCTAGAAAAAAAAAACAATGAAATTTCTGCTAGCAAACAGTGAACAAGAAAATCAATTCTGAGCAAGTTATTTAACTCTTCAAAAGATAAACTTAAAAATGATGGAGGTTGTAGGTTTCAGGAGATTTGTATTAGGAAAAAAAATAGTGAGAGAGTTTGTGCTGGTGTATTCATTCTTAGTTCATTATTCCCTGTTTCTGTGGAACTCGTTCTGTCTTCTATTCTCTGCTAGTGAATCCAACTCAAATTCTAACCCTAACCTCATTATTCTTACCATATAGTTCAGTTTTGGAGCAATTATCGTTCTCTGGTTTCTTTACAACATTTAAATGTGAGAATAAAAAATGGATACATCTAACTTCTACATAAAATTATGTTGCTTATATTTTCCATTTCTGTTAACATATTCATATTTATACTACCAGGTCACATATGATCCTAGCACAGCATTATGTGAAAAATTTAGATTTCTTCCTTCCAGAATCCTTTATCTTGATTCTGTACAGATCTGTGAATGGTTTTAAATTTCTCTCTCTCAATTGTCAAACCTAGTGCAACTAAATCAACCTAGTGTAGTGCATCAACTCATTTTAATTGGTAATTAATTGTTACCTGTACCCGCTGGGCTTCGAACATCCGGTTGTGTGTGGCCTTGGTCTGGGCGGCTGGCAGAGGGTGTCCTATGGTCTCCTGTAGGCCTGGAAGCAGCCGTCTATCCCCTGAATGGCTTCCCCCAATCTCTCCTGCCACGACTTTGGATGTTATAACAGTGAGGGGGCCAACCACCTAGGGTTTGGCTGCAGCGAGGAGTCTGCCCAGTGGTAGTCTGTGGGGCTTCACCTCCCCTACACCCTAACCTCACGCCAACATCCAGAGGGTCACCAGCTCTTCTTGGCCGTACCCCCGATGATGTTGTCTTCTTTGGAACGCGGTGGCCTATGTGGCCCTATCATGTTCTAGGATCTGCCTCCCTAGGTAACTAACTCAACCAGAAGTAGGGCTCTGGAAAATTATGCCCGTCTGGCTCAAAATGGTCGCTGCCTGCGACTCTAAATTCAACCCATACTCAAATAAAATATGAAGGCTCAAATAAAAATAAAACACAATGCTATTCTGTCTGTATCGCCTCGTCCTACCTCTCAGCACCTCCAAAAGGGGAAACTAAAAAAAGAAAAAAACCAACACAAATCAATTGTGGAGGGACCTGACCAGTCCTTTCCCCTACCCTTATGTTAGGGTGATGGAATAACCTTTACGCCCTCTGATCCTGCTGGGGTTTGGCCCGTCGTGGTCAGCATAGACTGCGGCCCTTCGCCTCGAGTCATTACAGCTCTCACTCTGCCCTGTGTGACATGTGCCGTTGCTGTCCTTCTCCTCTGTAGGGAGTGCCCAGCTTCCAGTGTCCTGCGGTATCTCCCTATGTACCCGGCTACTCTGTGTGTTATGGGCTGACACCCAGCCTCTGGCCATTCTGTACCTCAGCTTCCCTTGCTGCTCTGTTCTGTCTCCATCTGGAGGGGGAGCCTCCTTTCCCTTCTGCGTTCCTCCAACACTCTCACCTCTGTTGGCAAGGAGAGCCTCCTCCAGCTTTGTCATCCCTCTGCTGATCCTGTCTCTGTCAGCACAGGGAGCCTCTTCTGGCTCCCCCGTCTCTTCATCATGTTGTTTTCCACTGACGTAGAGATCCCCTGCTGGCTCTCTCTCCCTTGGGGTATCCCGGGAGACACCTGGCGTCGGAGATTTCCCTGACTCTGCTCCACCTCCCCCACTGTCTTCCCTGGTGGTCTATTTTATCCCCACTGGCCAGTGATTGCCAATGATGTCACCGGCCGGTTTCAGCTTGATAAAGGTGTGGCTTATGACCCACGCGGATTTCCCTTCTTGCTCCAGCTGCATTGTGGGTCCTACTGCTGTTGGTAAATATTTCCTTTGAGATATTTTTATATCTTTTCCTTTTTTGTCACATGCTCCCTGCCCCAGGGGGCCCCCATTCATTGTTTGGGGTTCTTTCCCCCACTCTCCCCCAGGACAGTACCTAAAAAGGAATACAGAAAATGTCTTCACTGAACTCTGTAGTTCGAAGTATCATTAGAAATGAAAAGTTCTTTAGGCCACATTGGAGCATACTGACATGACTCAAGAGGACTTCACAAATCAGTGAATTTTTAATCCTCTGTTTACCTGGAAAATAGTAAGCTCAGACAAGAGCATCAGAATCTAGGAATGGAGCAATCAGGACTAGTAACTTATCTAAATGGCACTGTATTAGAGTATGCTTGTCACACTGGCTTTGTGTTAAAAGGAAGATCAAAGATTACTTGCAGTATGGGAACATGGACTGAAGGCCCAACTTGTGATGATAATTTGACAATGTAATGTTTCCACCACATAGTGGAGAAGTCAACTATTTTAAACTAGAGGCTAAATTTTAAAATGGTAACTCCTCACTTATTGATGGTCTTTAGAAAAACACTTGCTGAAGACTTAATTTTTTTAATACCATAGATTTGTGTAGACTTATGTCACATCTGGGTTAGTTGAGGGAGATGCTTTAGGAAAATACTGATTGAGTGAAGTCCTTACATTTTTTTAAAGGAGGTTTGGCTTTTAAAACACATTTGCAAAGTAGGATTCCAGGGATATGGATTTCATAACCTCACTTTGCCATGAAATTTGTGTGTGACCTTGGGCAGGGTCCTTAAATCTGTGCTTTTCTATTTCATCCTTAAATGGGAATAAGAGTAATTTCTTGCCTCTACAAGGTTTCATGAATATAAATCAATCACTGCTGGTGGGCTGCTTTGCTGTTATGATGAGGACATCGATGAGAATCCCTGAACACTGAGGAATAGTTATGCTGATAAAACAGACATTCTTTTGCACGAGAGGTCAGAGGCAGAGAAGTGACTGCAAATACAAGCCTTGCTGGAGGGGGAGGCATAGAAACTAAATTTCTTCAACAGCCATCCTCTTGGTTTAAGACTTAGGGCCCTGGCTAATTACATTATCCATAGGTTAGACTTTATTTAGATTAGCTGTCATGGGTATCCATACACCATGCTACAAAATGTTTAATTAAATCAACTTTTAACTTTTAACTGTGACAGGGTTATTTTTACATGGTATGGTGCAGTACAGATGTCACTGAAATTTCCAGATTGTAGGATCAAATGAGGTCACTTGTGAAAACAGTCAATGGTCACAAGCACCAATATGCCAAGGTAGGAGTTTGTGTTTTAGTCAAAAGAAGTAAAACCAGATGTGTTATTGAGGCATGGGAGCAGGTTAAGGATATTTATTTTGTGTATTTTACATAAGGAACATGCACTATTGCATTCAACCCCAAAAACTGAAGCGGGCACAGGAAAGGCAGATCGAAGATTCCCACCAATTCTTCATATCGGTCCACAAAGTGGGACAGGAACCATGTGGGAAATACATATCCATAGACATATTCTGGTCTTATACAACCATATTCTTGTGTGTCACTAAATGACACAGATCACGAGGACTTACTGAAAGTTGAAAATTCTACACGACATCATATATTGGATAGATACTAGAATCTAATAGGCATATTTGATATATATATTATTGATATGTAGCATTGATTGCTTGTCACTCAAATATGACTGAATACCTTTACTCAGCAACAATGAATACAATGCTGTGGGAAAAAATAGAACTCAAAAGTGGTTACATTATTTGCATCATTATTAAAAATATATAAAGGCTAATTGAATGAAATAACTCAATGCAGATAAACTGTGTTATCGATCATCCTATTGCTAATACAAAATTTCCAGAGCTAGGTGTTGTGTACAGTGCTTATGCTTACTTCTATCTGACTATACATAAAATTAAACTTTCCATGTGAATAGGACTAAATTGATTTGTAATGTTTTAACACTGAGGAGTAAAAGCCACTACAGATCTTTACGCTATATTCCTGGGATCTCTGGATCTATTGATCAGCCGGTTTTTGGGTCCTTTTGCACCCTCTTCTTCTTTTTTCTTTTCCTTGAAAAACTGGCTTCCCTGGAATTGATGAAGGAACCGCATAATCTAGAGACCTGCTATCTGATCCTAATAAAGTTAGATCAAACTTTGTCTTGTTAAATAAGAATATGGTTGTATCTCCCAAGCTGTAATCAGATCAGAAAGTTCTCAGAGCTGAAAGGTGATTTAAGCAAGGAGTGGAGACCACATTCAAAGACTGGATTCACTGAATACAGTAGTATATGAGGGTCTCAGGTGCCTGGGAGCCAACACTTGCATTTGTGCCCTTCACCCCGTCACACCACCTACAGATGCTGGCAGCAGCTCTGGCGGTGGGCTGATGTGGAGTGGCAACCACCAAATAGTGACCGCCCGCAGATGCTGCCAGGAGCATTGGCAGTGGCCAGTCTCAGGGGGGCACCTTCACCTGCACCTGCGTGCACCCCCTACAGTGGCTGATCAGAGGTGGGGGGGTGAAACTGGAAACTGGAAATGCTTCCCGTGCTGCTGCCACCACTTCCAGTTTTGTGGCCTGTCGGCGCCTCCCCACAGCCCTGCGCCCGGGGACCATGGCCTGTCCCCAGCCCCACCTCTGCTACGCTACTAGCTGAGTATGTATTCTGCATGGGGTCTCTCCTGAGACTGTCCTGAGATTCATCCAAAATATTCTCCGCTCATAGATCACTATTTCATCAGGCTGAGTCAAGGCACTAGAGAAAGGATCTGGAAGAATGTCATTTATAATGGACTCTGACAAAGTTATTCCCCTGGCTATTGATGGACAATGGGTGGGAATATAATCAAAATAAACTGTTCTGTGGTTGGGCAGTAATCCACTAGATTTAGTCTTGTGGCAAAACTCCAACATTTTACCTGCATGGATATTGTGCAGATACCTGATAAAACTCTACAAATTGTAATATCTACCTGTTCTAATAGGTGGGATGGGTGGAGCCCTCACAGGCCGCATTGAGACAAGTGCAGCTGTGAGGTATGTAGTGCTGCAAGCACATCTGTGCTGCTACATACTGCAAATTCAGCTGTTCTCCATGCTGCAAGGTAGCATTGCGGTGGAGGCTTTTTTGACCCCAGGATATCCAGGGGTCAAAAAAATCCCATGAAAGAAGCAGCAAAGTAGCACACACAGGGATAGTGAGTGCCACTCAAAATGGAAGCCCGGCTGACCAGAGCCATGCTCCAGCTGGTGGCCAGGCTCCGAGCAGCAGGTTCGCTACTGCTGCAGCCCCAGGAGGCCCCCAGGTAGGTATGCTGGGGTCAGCCCTGTTCTGGCCCGAGCCTCCACTACCCCATGCAGGGTAATCTGCTGTTTTCCAGAGGGCACATAGCACAGGCACCCCCGGATTCAACCAGCAGTGGCACAAGGTGTCCTGTTGCTAGTTGTCCCCAGGCAAACAAACATCCATGCTCATGCAGACACAACCAGTGTGTATTGTAGCTGCGACAGTCAGCAGCAGCTCTCCCTAGTAGAAGGCTGGATATTACTCTTATTTTCAATAACCTATATTACAGACTTCTGGATTCTGCTTCTCTGGCTTGTTTATCAAGATACAAATAACACAGATGTGGTGACCAGCAGTGTGAAAAGATCATACTTCCCAATCAACACAACTATCCTGGCAAAACTCCCAGTAGAAAACAACATGCAATTATGGAACAGAGCTTTCCTTAGTTTACATCATGCCATTTATGTGGATAATATAGCAACGATCTATATATTATAAAATAAAAATGTGCTTCCCCTTTTCCTCTGTCACATATAACCATGTACAGGACATATTTCCACTCAGTAGGGTCAGGTTTCACAACCATTTAAAGCAAAGATGTGTTTTATCTGGGGAAGAGCATAAAAAAAGGCCCATATTTCCATTTTTTTCTGTTAGAAGTTTGTCTCCCAACTTTAGTTTTGCAAGTATACTTTGTTCAATGAGACATAATGTATTTTCATAAGCTAAGACACTACTTCAGTAGCCTTTTATTACCGGCATCTTTATCTATGTCTTCCCCTCCAGAAGCAAGATGCGGACCGCCACCTGAAGTTGTTAATGCGGATATTATACCTAATGAGAATGAAATGTATCTGCCAGGAGCCAGAGTACAGTATAAATGTCACAGAGGCTTCCGGAGTGTGGGATCAAAAAAGGTCATTTGTGAAAACAGAGAGTGGTCACAACCACCCACTTGCGAAGGTAGGAGTTAGTATTTTTAGACATGGTGAGGCTGGGGATACATGTTAAGATTTTCCCTTTGAAGTGATCTTCCCTCATGCACAGCTAAGTTCAGCCCCACAAGGAGGGCTGAGGAAAAAAAAGATTGTGAGGGAGGGTATCAAAGACTCCATCAATTCTCCACCAGAACAGAAATGTCCAATGGAATGGAATAGGGAAATGTTGGAAATAGGGTGGGATGTGATTAAATGACACAGGTCATGAGACCTCACTGAAGGGTTAAAAACTGTCATGACATCAAATTCTGGGTAGGCATTGGCATCAAATAGGCCCCTAATAAAATATTCATGTCCAGTTTCAATAGAAGAGAAGACAAGGAGGTTGTGTCAGGTGCCTTCTCTGTAGTCAACCGTGGACGTTCAGGCAAAGTGCAGGGGCTGCTCTCTCTGGAATGGTTGCCACAAGAGAGGAGCAGAAATGTGGGAGAGGAGAGTTTCATCTCTTGCTGAGCTTCTTGTTTTGTCGCTGTTTTCTGTCTCTTCTGCATTTTTTGTGCTTTCTTTCTATTTCCATCATGTTAAAGACAACACTAAGCTCATAATTCTCCCTAATGTGGTGCACCAAATTCCTTTCTCAAACATGCAACATTAACACTTGGCCATGGGGATGGAACATACTGTAGAGAACTGCAGTTCCCTCCGTAACAAGAAGTAGAGGGATAAGGAAAAGAGCCATGGTTATGGATGAGTTGTGTCCACGCCTCCTTCCTTTTTTCTTTTCTTGACAGTCAGTTGTTAGAGATCAGGATGGTAGAATTAGTGCAGCTGCAATGCCTGGGAACCAAAGGATTGCATACTACCACACATTCTCCATCTGAAACATGGCCCTGAATCAGGGCTTAAGAAAGCTAGGGCCATTCATTTTCTTATTTTGTGATGAAATATTATTTTGTCAGTTTAAAGTCAAAGCTACACATACTTTGCCTCAATGATTTAGCGATAAGGATTTGGTTTTGAAATAGGATGATTATTCTCCCCTTTAATTGATTGGAATGATCTATCAAAGTAAATTGGTAGGGATCATCTGTAACACTTCTATTTTCATAGCATTTGCTGGAAATAAATTATGATGTATATCTGGATGTATATACTTCATTTCAGAGGGTTCTGGAACGTGTGGGCCCCCACCTATTACTGAAAATGGAGATATCACTACTTTTCCATTGCCACGCTATGAACCAGATTCAACAGTGACATACAAATGCAAAAATCTCTATATAATGAAGGGATCTCAATATGCTACATGCAACTCAGGGCAATGGACAGAACCTCCAACTTGCATAGGTGGGTACAAAATGTATTTAATAACAATGTTTTGTGATGAGTTCTGTCGTGTGATGATTTTCAGTGGTGGGATCCATGTCAGCTGTCACCGAATCTGAGATTCCTGCAGGTGAAGTTTGCCATTTTGATTTAAAACAGGTTATGAGAGGCACATGTTCTGGCCCTCAAAGTGGGTTCTCAGAGGCATCAGTCCAATCCTCTCCTGCCCTTTGCCAATGTGTAATAATGATAAATAATCAACATTTCCAGTCAGTAACCCTGAAATTACTGCATTTTTCTTTTTATATCACCTCTCATTCCCCCAATAAGGCATGCATCTTGGTTTTGGAAGGGAAAATGTACAGAAAAAAATACATTTTTGCAGTATCCAGGCTGAGAACTTACGGCATGCAGTGGTTTATTCACCCTCAGCTAGCTCACTGGCTACTTTAGGCTGCGGTGTTAACACTTCTCCACTGAGCCAAAAGCTGTTGCCAATTCAGCAGCAACTGTGTGAGGGTGAAAACTGGACTCCAACCCTGGTGTTTACTGGTCCAGAAAGAAGCAGCAACCATTACTGCACAGAGTCTCCATGCTTCCACTCAGGCAAAGAAAATTAACTTCTCCACTGGAGAGACACCCCTATTTTAGAAAGCCAATTTTTAAGGAAATTGTGTGAGTTTTAAGTGAGTACATAAGTAATTCTTTAAATTTTCAAAGGATTTTATTGGTAACTGAGCTAGAAATATCTGCTGTTCTTGTGTCTTCTTTAAGTAGGTGTGCCCAGGGCCAGTGCCTGGATTGCCAATCGCTCCTTATGCTACTGTTATCTTTTAACAATTAGTGCTGCAGAAGATGTGGCTGAAGCAAATTGTACTTCATTGATCCCAATTGTTCAGTTCTGGAAATGCTCTTAGGCTGGATCCAGACATGCAGGCACATGTGGCTTGTGGCTCTGCAAACCTCTTTGAGGCACCACAAACCACACAGGTTGCACATTAAAATGTGCAGGGATTTCCCACTAGGAAAAAGAAACACAAAAAAGGCACAGAGGCACATGGAGACCCTGTGTCAAGGCACCCTGTGCCCCAAACCACTCCCCACCTTCCCCTCCCGAAAGCACATGAGCAAGGACAGATGCTGCAGCACAAAGTAAAGGTAAAAAACTTGTGCTACTATATTATTTGTGCTGCTGGAAACGCATAACCCTACATGTGTGAAGCCTTAAAGGCTTCTCTCAAGATCTTTCCTGGTCTCACAACCTCTCAAGCTATTCCAGGACAAATCTTCCCTGAAAATATTCTATGTAAAAGGGTTTATAATAATGATTGCATAAATGAAATTTCCCATGGTAAATCCATAAGTAAACAATTGAATTGCATGTTCCTGTTTTCAGAGCCCTGTACAGCATCTGAGCAGGATATGGCAGAAAACAATATTAGACTGAGATGGGCTTCAGGAGAGAAACTGTATTCTCCATCTGGAGATGTTATAGAATTTGAATGCATACCTGGGTATGTGAGGGATCCAGCATCTCCTCCTTTTAGAGTACAGTGCCTGGAAGGGAAATTGCCATATCCTAGATGTAAGCTCAGAGGTAAGTAATTTTTAAAGACACTGTTAATTCATAGCAGTCTGTTTAAAACAATTGTATAATGCAGCATGTTGAATGAAAGTGGCAACAAACAGAAGCAAGGTTATCAGAGCACTAGTTAAACCGGGATGATCCAATCTACCCCCTCAGTCTTCTATTAGTAGAAAATGGTAGAAGAGCTTTTTAAATGTCCTGACTTGCTCAAATTTTGTGGCTGGCTCCTCCCCCGGGGTGGTTGCCCCTTTCATTTGGGAGAGCTGTTTTTTTTTTTTTTAAAATAATCCACAAGTACTTGCTGCAGCTCACATCTGCTGAGAAGTGACGTGATGGCTGAAGCTTTCCTGGTCTTCATTCTTTCCTGAGAAACCTTCTGACTCATGAACATTTTGGTTACATCAATTTGTCTCCCACTCCAACATAGCTGCAGAAGCTGACTGAGGCTATTGCTGCTGGGTTTGTGCAGACAGTAACTAATGTCTCCTGCAAAATTTTTCATCATCATGTTGTCCTGTTTGAAAAACTTCACTTTTTGTGGTATCTCCTGATTTAGATCCTGATCCAGATTGCTTTACTTTCTTCTGGCCATCTTGTTTTCTCTGTTCCCTACCATTATTACAGTTATATTGATGAACAGGTCCCTAATAAACGAGACAAGACAGAACTCCAACTCAGCTTAGATTAATTTGCCACAGTAGTGAAGAAAATGTACAATTTTGCTGTGTCTATCTGAGAGTAAAGCACAAGTTCTTATTTACACTTTTGCTGGAGAAGTCAGACACTAGGAGAAATGATGTAAATGCCAACAGCAGGTCTTTCAGGGAGCTCCCTCTGTTCTCCAATATTTCCTTCTGTATTTTGTCTGCATACATGTATATACTGTTACCTATAACAAACATCTCCGAATGCTTCCCATGCTGCTGCCACCACTTCCAGTTTTGCGGCCTGTCAGTGCCTCCCCACAGCCCTGACCCCAGGGACCATGGCTCATCCCCAGCCCCACCTCTGCTACACCACTGGCTGAGTATGTATTCTGCATGGGGACTCTCCTGAGATTCATCCAAAATAATCTCTGCACATAGCACACTATTCCAGCAGGTTGAGTCAAGGTACTAGAGAAAGGATCTGGAAGAATGTCATTTATAATGGACTCTGACAAAGTTATTCCCCTGGCTATTGATGGACAGTTGGGGGGGAATATGATTAAAATCAACTCTGTTCTGTGGCTGGGCTGTAATCCACTAGATTTAGTCTTGTGGCAAAACTCCAACATTTTACCCACATGGATATTGTGCAGATACCTGATAAAACTCTACAAATTGTAATATCTACCTGCTTTAAAAGGTGGGATGGGTGGAGCCCTCACAGGCTGTGTCCAGATAAGCACAGCTGTGCAGTATGTGGTGTCGCAGGCACATCTGTGGTGCTACATAACGCATATTCAGCTGTTCTCCGTGCTGCAAGGGAATAGCGCGGTGGTTTTTTTGACCACAGGATATCCAGGGGTCAATAAGTCCCACGCAAGAAGATGTAGAGTGGCACATACAGAGGTAGTGAATGCAATCAAAACAGAAGCCCTGCTGGCCAGAGCCATCGTCCAGCTGGTGGCTAGGCTCTGAGCGGCAGGTTTGCCACAGCTGCAGCCCCAGGAGGCCCCCAGTTAAGGCTACTAGTCCCAACCTCCCCTACCCCACCCAGGGTCATCTGCTGTGTGCCAGAGGCCACATGGCACAGGCACCCCCGGAGACAACCAGCAGTGGCACAAGGTGTGCTGCTGTTAGTTGTCCCCAGGCAAACAAACATCCATGCTCATGTGGACACAGCCACAGTGTGTATTGTAGCTGCGACAGTCAGCAGCAGCTCTCCCTAGTAGAAGGCTGGCTATTACTCTTATTTTCAATAACCTATATTACAGACTTCTGGATTCTGCTTCTCTGGCTTGTTTATCAAGATACAAATAACACAGATGTGGTGACCAGCACTGTGAAAAGATCATACTTCCCAATCAACACAACTATCCTGGCAAAACTCCCAGTAGAAAACAACATGCAACTATGGAACAGAGCTTTCCTTAGTTTATTTCATGCCATTTATGTGAATAATACAGCAATAGTCTATATATTATAAAATAAAAAGGTGCTTCCCCTTTTCCTCTGTCACATATAACAATGTACAGAACATATTTCCTCTCAGTAGGGTCAGGTTTCACCAACCTTAAAGCAAAGATGTGTTTTATCTGGGGCAAGAGCATCAAAAAAGGCCCATATTTCCATTTTTTTCTGTTACAAGTTTGTCTCCTAGCTTTTGTTTTCAAGTATGCTTTGTTCAATGAGACATAATGTATTTTCATAAACTAAGACACTACTGCAGTAGCTTTTTACTACTGGCATCTTTATCTATGTCTTCCCCTCCAGATGTAAGATGCAGACCTCCACCTGAAGTTGTTAATGCGGATATTATACCTACTGAGAATGAAATGTATCTGCCAGGAACCAGAGTGCAGTATAAATGTCACAGAGGTTTCCGCAGTGTGGGATCAAATCAGGTCATTTGTGAGAACAGAGAGTGGTCACAACCGCCCACTTGCCAAGGTAGGAGTTAGTGTTTTTAGACATGGTGAGGCTGGGGATACATGTTAAGATTTTCCCTTTGAAGTGATCTTCCCTCATGCACAGCTAAGTTCAGCCCCACAAGGAGGGCTGAGGAAAAAAAAGCTTGTGAGGGAGAGTGTCAAAGACTCCATCCATTCTCAGCCAGAACAGAAATGTCCACTGGAATGGAATAGGGAAATGTTGGAAATAGGGTGGGATGTGATTAAATGAGACAGCTGGTGAGCCCTTACTGAAGGGTTAAAAACTGTCATGACATCAAATTCTGGGTAGGCATTGGCATCAAATAGGCCCCTAATAAAATATTCATGTCCAGTTTCAATAAAAAGCCAATAAAAATCAATAAAAAGCACTTGGGGGAAATTTTGACTGGGTTATAGTTAATACTACCTCCCATCGGTGAGTTTGTCTGATTTTAGTAAAAAGCATTATGGTTCTTTATGGTAAAATCAGGATGCTTGTCCTTAGAGTCTTCAAGATTTAGATCATGATTTAGGCCATAGATGCATGAAGAGAGTAAACTGTGAGAGCTGAAACAGGAGGCTTAAACCTGGAACAAATCTTACAGATGCAGTTGCACTCAGTTGACCAGGCTTTGTTTGCTTGCCATGAGCAAGAGCAGACTGAGAGAGAGACCAGCCCACACACTGCTGCCTTCTTGGATAATCGCTGCAACAGGTTTTAGAGGAGTCACTGCAGGAATATTGATATTTGTCAGATTCTACAAATTTTAAAATTCTGCTAGCGCCCAGCAGCACACCAATTGTGCCAGTTCAGAAAATGTGTGCTGAATGCTACTGTCAAGGCCAACATCAAAAGGAGACAGAGGGAAAACAAACCACTGCTCCTGAATATCAAAGATGACCCTGGCAATTGAAAGTCTCTGAGAGTAATAAGGCAGCACAATTTTCTTCAAACCTAGTCTGCCTATCAACATAATCTCTGTGGCTAATAGAAATGGTAGTATCTTGACGGTTTATATCAGGGGCACTTCCCTTGTGTGAAACATTATAAGAAACTATGAAAGATTCAGTCCTAGGGTGATTCCGCCCCTTTTTTCTGGGGCAGTCCCAGATTTTGGATTCCAGTCCCAGGTATGAGGCAGCGATTAAAATGATCATCCAACATGCAAGGCATAGTCCAGCAGGGAAGGGAAGTGTTGCGGTGCTCCAGAAAGTCAGCTGGGCAGGTACAGTGGTGGCTTTGCCTGTCTGTCAAAGTATGCTGCTCCAACTCCAACTCTCCCTGCATCATACTGCTGACTTGGGAGGCACTTGGGGGTGGAGTGGGAGGAAAGGAGGGACACCAATGTCCCACATGTCCTGTATTTTCAACAGGGACAGATGAGCACCCTATTCAGTCTTGATAAAAGTTGTTTGATCATCAGAAATTTCAACAGTCACAATATCAAATGGGTTAACAACACAGGTTACACAACAGGGAACTGGTTGAAGTATGGGTAAATACAAACCTCCTGAAGCTGAGCCAAAACCTTTCTAACTCGGTTAATACAGGTATATGCAAATGGGATGGCAATCCCAGTCTGGTGTTTGCCAACAGCAGTATTACTGAAATTTCTGAATGCAGTCACTATCAACTGGAGTGCCTCAGGGGTCAGTCCTGGGGCGAGTTTAATTCAATGTCTTAATCAACAACCTGGAAGATGCCATAGATCGCACCCTCAGCAAGTTTTCAGATGGCAGCAAGGTGTGGGGAGTAGTGGATATGCTGGAGGTTGGACTAGGATTCAGAGTGACCTAGAGAAATTGGAGGATTGGAACAAAAGAAATCTCATGAAGTTCAAGAAGGACAAGTGCAAAGTCCTGCACTTAGGACAGAATAGTCCCATGCACCAGTGCAGGCTGGGGGCTGACTGGCTGGACAGCAGCT